CTGCTCTCCTGCCGCCCTGGAAGCCTTGAAATCCACAAAGCAAAGCCTTTCAACACAGGGCGGACGAGAAGCCTTCGGGCCGAGAAACCGTCTCGGTGGATTTGGGTATCTGCAGAGAGGTTCACTCACGCAGGTCCTCTTTGCACATGCCCAGAGTGATTTGTGGGAGCCGCTCCTGCTTCCTCAATCCACTCGGGAGGCTTTGGCAGGGAAGCGGGCGATCATTCATCACTCTGCAAAGCAGATCGGAGCTGCGGGGCCCCTCCCTGAAAGCTACAGACTCTGAATGTTCTAGGTGTGAAATAGTCGGCAGAGGCCTTGGGAGCTGGGTCCCTGGGAAGGGACAAGGGGCGGGACAGAAGCCAGACTTGTGCAGCTGGAGCAAAAGGGCCACGAGAGCTCTGCGGCCTGCTCCACGTGGGCCTGGTGCCGGATCCGTGCTCACGAGTCCTGTCCAGCCAACCACGTCCCACGGGCAGTGTGGTCTCGGGGCCGGAGAGTTAGACGAAGACTGGAGAGAGTGGGGCTTCTGCCACCCCCTCTGCCGCGGAACTCCCTGGGTGACCCCGGGCCCATCGCTGTCGCTCTCAAATGAATCACCTCACAGGGTTGTTGTGAGGATGCAAAGGGGTGAGGATCATGTAAGCTGCCCTGAACCCCTTGGAGGAAGGGTGGGATAAGATGATATAAGATAAGATAAGATGATAGATAAGATAAGATGATAAGATAAGATAAGATAAGATAAGATAAGATAAGATAAGATAAGATAAGATAAGATAAGATAAGATAAGATAAGGAAAGGATGTGGGCAAAATCGAGAGGGTGCAGAAGAGAGCGACGAGGATAATCGGGGGTCTGGAGACGGAGCCCCACGAGGAAAGGCTGAGGGCCCTGGGAAAGATAAGATAAGATAAGATAAGATAAGATAAGATAAGATAAGATAAGATAAGATAAGATAAGATAAGATAAGATAAGATAAGATAAGATAAGATAAGATAAGATAAGGAAAGGATGTGGGCAAAATCGATAGGGTGCAGAAGAGAGCGACGAGGATAATCGGGGGTCTGGAGACGGAGCCCCACGAGGAAAGGCTGAGGGCCCTGGGAATGTTTAGTTTGGAGAAGAGGAGATCGAGGGGGGACATGATTGCTCTCTTTAGATATCTAAAAGGCTGTCATTTGGAGGAGGGCAAGGAGCCGTTCCAGTTGGCAGCATAGGACCCGAAGCAATGGGTTTAAATTACATGCAGAAAGGTATCGGCTGGAGATTAGGAAATACTTGTTCAGGGTCAGAGTGGCTCAAAGGTGGAACCGGCTGCCTAGGGAGGTGGTGAGCCCCCCTTCACTGGCAGCTCTCAAGAAGAGGCTGGAGGAATATTTGTCAGAGATGCTTTAGGCTGGTCCTGCAAGTCGGCAGGGCGTTGGACTAGATGGTCTGTACGGCCCCTTCCCACTCTAGGATTCTAGGATTCTATTCTATGATTCTATAAGAAGAAAATAGTATCTTATTCCCCACAACTGGTGATTGCCAGCAAGTGCTGAGTGGTGGGAAATGGTGGTCTGGACCCATTCCGTAACTGACAACATTCTTGAGAATGTTTGCAACCCTAATGGAACTGGGATTCTATGAGCCCCTAACGCAGTCTGTGCCTGAGCCTTCACACCACAGCTCAGGGGCAGAGCCTCTGCTTGGCACAAAGAAGGTCTCGGGTTCAGTCCCCGGCATCTCCCATTCAAAGCAGGTGATGTGATGGGCCTCTGCCTGAGACAACTCGGAGAGCGGCTGCCAGTCTGAGTAGACAAGGCCGACCCTGATGGGCCGAGGGCCAGACTCAGCCTAAGGCACCTCCGTGCGTTCACGTGTGTGTTCACCAGCCGCAACTCAAGGCAGAGAGTCAACAGATGGTGAGCTGATGACATGACACACAGCCCATGGGCCAGCACGAAGCCAAAAGTATTTTCTGGGACAAGTAGAGGCAGAGTCGCCTCCCCTCGTGTGCATCAGCTGCGCGTCCGTGGGCAGGAGCCGCGTATGCCTGGGGTGTAAAGGGCTGGGAAGCAAGTGAGAGAACAAACACCGGAGGGCAGCAACCATGCCCCAGTCCCATTCCAAAGGGTATGAGCACATCTCTTGACACTTGGGAAGGCGTGCCGTAACAGCCGAGCCGTGAGAGCTTGTTTTGCTAACAGAAAACTCCGTGCGCTCTCAGTGACTAATCCCAATGTCATCCAAAGAATCTAGCCCTCGCTTCTCTCATTCCCAGGGAGATTTCTGGCATCGTATGAACGCTCATGAAGCCGCCTTCTACTGAATCAGACCCTGGGTCCGTCCGGGTTGGTCCCGTCTACTGGCAGCCGCTGTCTCCGGGGTCTCAGGTGGAGGTCTCTCACATCACCAACTGCCCGGTCCTTTTTTCACTGGAGATGCTGCCGGGGATTGAACCTGGGACCTTCTGCATGCCAGGGAGAGGCTCTTCCACTGAGCCACAGCCCCTCTTTACAGCTCTCCAGGGTCTCAGGTGGAGGTCTTTCCCATCAGCTCCCGCCTGTTCCTTTTCACTGGAGATGCCGGGGATTGAACCTGGGACCTTCTGAATGCCAAGCAGAGGCTCTTCCACTGAGCCACGGCCCCTCTTTACAGCTCTCCAGGGTCTCAGGTGAAGGTCTTTCCCATCACCTCCTCCCTGGTCCCTGGTCATCCAGCCAGGTGCAAATGGAGGAGTGGGGAATCAAACCCGGTTCTCCCAGATTAGAGTCCGCGCACTTAACCACTACGCCAAACTGGCACTTTACTTGCCTGCTCAATCTCTGGACTTCCTTGAAGTGGAGATGCCCCATCATGAACCCTGAGCCTGAGGCTCTTTCAAAACCATCGTAAACGCTATTTAGACAGAAACCCAAAATGGAGCACCAGAGAAGGCACACTTTCTCCAGTTAGTACATGCCCCGGCCTGGCCTAGATGGCCCAGCCTAGCCTGATCTCATCAGGCAAAGACAAACCAGCTCTGTTCGTCTCTTGCCTTGGAAACCTACGGGGTCGCCAGAAGTGAGCTGCAACTTGGCAGCCCTTTCCGTCACCAGCCTATCAGTCTTGTCCCGGATAGGCCTGCCACATTTTGAAAGCTAAGCAGTGTAAGCCCTGGTTAGTACTTGGATCGGAGACCATCAAAGAAGTATAGGGTTGCTATGTAGAGGAGGAGGAGGAGGTGGAGGAGAAGACGAAGAAGAGGAGGAAGAGGAAGAGGGGAGGAGGAGGAGATTGGATTTATACCCCATGGCCCCTCACTACCTGAAGGAGTCTGAGAGCCGCTTACAAACTCCTTTCCCTTCCCCTCCGCACAACAGACACCCTGTGTGGTAGGTGGGGGCTGAGGGACCTCTCTCGAGAACCGCCCTTGAGAGAACAGCTCTGAGAGAACTTGTGACTGACCCAAGGTCACCCAGCAGCTGCAAGTGGAGGAGTGGGGGATCAAACCCGGTTCTCCCAGATTAGAGTCCCCGCTCCTAACCACGACACCAAACTGGCTCTCTGGAGGTCGGCAATGGCAAGCCACCTCTGAACATCTCTTGCCTTGGAAGTCCCAGGGGGCCGCCGTAAGTCAACTGTGACTTGACAACAACCCAAAAAAGGAGATCCATAAATCTGGGAAGACTCAAGCGACGGAAGGAAAACTCTTCCTTCGGAATGGGCAGGCGAAGGTGATCCCAACCCTAGACTCCCTCGGTCGTCTCCCGTACCCCACTTCCCACCATCGCCACCACCACGGGATACCTTTGCTGGGGGAGAGTGAAATGGCGGGGGAAACGCTGCCTCCCCCCCCCCGGTACTCACATCCAGCTCGAAGGTCTGCAGCACGGTCCTGTAGCCCCCCGAGATGGGGGTGAAGAGCCGCAGCACCTCCTTGATGACGCAGTCCAGGTAGTGGAGGCTGTTGAGGGTGTCCAGCTGGAGGGAGCCCTCGCACAGGCAGCCGTTGTGGAGCATCCCTTTGCTCCTCAGCTCCTCGCGGAGCTTCTCCAGCACCTGGGGGTGCTTCAGCAGCTGCATGATAAGGGAGGTGCTGGCGCTGGCGGTGGTTGCATAGGCGGCGAAGATCAGCTCCAGGGTGCCGTCCTGGAAGGCCGAGAGAAACCCCCGCACACACCGGTTACAAAACCCAGCTCTGCTCCCGAGGCCTCGGCGGCATTTCCCGTGGCAACGTCTCCTTATTTACTTTATTATTTATGTATTACTTTCGGTTTATATCCCACGTTGCCAGCAGAAGCTGGCTCAAGGCAGTGCATGACAAGTTAAAACACAATAAATCACCAGTGCACCAGATGCAATACTATACGATTTCACACAAACGAAACAATATGCATAAAGTGCAAGAATGTGCAGACGGCGATTGCTATAAGATGGTCCGATGTCAGAAGGCCAATATCCAAAGTTGTTCTTAATACCAGTCAGGGGTCATTTCCTGCGGAAGCGCACAGGAGCGGAGCTCCGGCAGTAAGGAGTTCAGGGGGCGGGCACATGCAACAAGCCCCGCCCCCTGCTCCCAGCAGCCCTCAGTTGGGCCATGAGGAGCAAGAAGCAGCCAGGTAAGTTGCAGAGCCTCCCCCCCCACTTCAGGTACAAGCTCTCCCTCCTCTGTGAGGGCAGATCTGCGCGTCTCCCCCCCAATAGCTAGCAATCCAAAACAGTCCAGTGGGGCCTGAGCGGTGGGTGTTGCCTTCTGACACACTTCTGGTGATGTCAGGGGGTGTGGCATATGCAAATAAATTATGCTAATGCGCTCCTGCACCTCTTTTTCTACAAAATGACCCCTGATACCAGTAACATAAGGGCCGTGACATGTTCAGTTTGTGATAGCTCATTCGTCAGTGGCGGCTCCTGATCGAAGGCCTGGTGGAAGAGCTCCGTTTTACAGGCCCTGCGGAGCTGTAAGAGGTCCCACAGGGCCCTGATGTCTTCCGGGGGCTCATTCCACCAGTGTGGAGCCGCCACTGAGAAAGCCCTGGTTCTGGTGATGGCCAATCTGGTGTCTTTCGGACCAGAGAGAGTTGGAAGCCCCCCCCCCCATCGCCTCCAAGGCGTGTGCCCCGCAGAAGCCAGCTAGCCTGAGCATGGTTGTTGTTGTTTCCATCACAGCCGCACTGGGCAGGAACCACCCCATTCTTTTTGGCTTGCATTTCAGGCAAAATGGGGGCACAGACGGGAAATACGGCAAGCCGGTTAGAGCAGGGGTCCACAACCCACCGTGTTCTACGAAAGTGGGTGGGTCTTCTAACTGACCACTGGAGTTTTGATTGGCTGCGTAGTGTTTTTTTTAATGTTGCTTTGGTGGCAGTTGCCACCACAGCACAAGGATGTTCACTGTGTGACTGAAGGTAAGCTGGGGCAGCCATTTTGTGGCAACAATCTTTGTGACAACCATTTTGTGGCTGCGTCCACCATGCCATCTCGGAGGCTCAAAAATGTGGTGATGCCTGACTTGGGATACGACCTGGGCAGTGTTCCCTCTAAGCTGAGTGTTCCCTCTAAGCGCACAGTTTTTTTAGCCTTTAGAAAGTGTTGATGCAATTCTCTCTATTCACTGCAAATTATATTTTTGTGTTAGTGTCAATCATATGTTAGCTATACATTCCACCCAGGGCATTTATTTGCCAGTTTCTTTCCTTCAAGGAACTTAAATGTGCTACACAGGTTGCTATTCTATTTCATTTGCTTCCTCCTTGCAGAATGACATGGTTGCCAGCAGTGTGGCTGGGAGAGGGGTAAGAATACTGAAAGGATACTTGGGGAAAAGCTCAGCCCAAGACAGTCTTCTTGGTGAACCATCCTACCCTCTCCATTAGATCCCACCAACACCATTAGGCAGGGTGACCTGAAATTTGGGAAACGGAAATGAGCTTTACTAACTTTGGTAGAGTGGAGCACTCCTTGAAGGATCTCTGGTGCTGATTCTGCATGCCTTATATCGGTCGACAATGAAGTATGTAAAAAGTTTTGATAACTATAAACATGAACTCTTGAAAGAAGTCAATTTCCCCCACCAAATCAGTTCCCTTTCTGCCTCTCATTACAAATTGAGATTCCATAATTTTTCTGAATAGCTCAGTTTGCTTAAAGCAGTGCTTTCCAGCTGTGCCCTAGGGAACCCTGGAAGCTTAACGGGGTTTCAGTGACTGCAGACAAACTTTTCTGAGAGGCCATTTTTGATACCCAGAAGTATGCAACTGCTAGAGAGTTTGAGGCATTGTTTAATGTGTACCCTTCATACAAAATGATGGTGATGCCAAGCAGGGTTTGACCAGTGCCACATTCACTTGTAGTCAGGGCTGGCTCACTCACTAGGCAAACTAGGCGTTCGCCTAGAGCGGGCCGGTCCTTAGGGGTGCCAAACTGCACCCGCCCCCCCACCAAAAGCTGCCCTACCCAGCGTGGCCCATTCCTGCGACCTACCAGCCCGTGGGAGGCTCCGCCAGCAGGAGCCGGGAAAGGCGCTGGGCGAGGCAGCAGCCGGGTAAATTGGGTCAGTCGGTGCGGAAATCCTCTGGCCAGTGGCGGCAGCAGCACCCGAGGGAGGGTGGCAGCCCTTACCAGCACGGGGGGGGGGCAATGCACGGGGGAGGGGCGGCGAATGGGGGGGTGCCAGGAGGGATCCTTGCCTAGGGTGCAAAATAAGCTGGGGCCATCCCTGGTCGTTGTTCTTGCACTGTTGGCGTGAATGATTTGGCCTAGTCCCCCCCCTGCCCCCAGCAACTGCCAGACCCATGACCCTCGGCTTCCCCTCCACAAACCTTCAGCTCTTGCATGGTCAGCTCCTTCCGGTGCTCCTTGCCGCTTTCAATCAGCAGGTCGAGGGCGTCGGAGTAGTCCTTGCCTTGAGGGTTCTGCAGCTTTTCCCGGATGGCTCTCTCGAGACCCTTCTGCAGCGCTTCCCGGGCACGGATCCCCTGCCGGAGACAACAGAAGCCTGAAGCCCTGGAGCAGACGCCGGCCGGCAAAGACCTGCGTGTCTCCCCCTGACAACTCTTCCTACGGCAGAAGAATACTCCGTAGCGAGACTGCTGGGAGGGGACGGGCCACCAAGCAGTCCACCGGAGCCCTCAAGCCAAAGCTCTCCCCAGCGGCCCCCCTTGGCCGGCCCATCCCTTACCTTCCGGTAGCCACTGAAAGGCAGGTCCAGAGGCAAGGAGAAGACGTTCTCCACAAACTGCTGGAAGACCTCAAAGAGGTGGCTGAGCTCCTCCTCCGGGATCCGGAAGCCCAGCAGGACCCGTATGGCCATGCGGAAGGTGAGCTGCTGCGCCTCGTAGTAGACGTTGATGGGCTCCGGGTTGCTGCTCCAGGCCCGCAGCGTGTCCTGGATCACCAGCTGGATCTTCGGGAGGTAGCTCTGCAGGGCTTCGTGGCTGAAGATCTTGGAGAGCACCTGGGGAGGAGGAGGCAGGCACACGTCAGAAACCGCCCGGATCCCAGAATCCGGAAATGGTGCCGTGAAATCTATCGCTTGAGGCGAAATGCGGAAGAGCTTCAGGGGGTGGGGCACCCTCTCGGCTGAGGCAGACGGAGCAGCGGGATGGAGTCAGCGAGAGGGAAGAATAAGAAGAGGAGGAGGAGGAGGAAGAAGAGGGGGAAGAAGAGGAGGAGGAGGAGGAGGAGATTGGATTTATACCCCACCCTTCACTCGGAGTCTCCAAGCACCTTACAATCTCCTTTCCCTTCCCTTCCCTTCCCCACAACAGACACCCTGTGAGGTGGGTGGGGCCGAAAGAGCTCTTTCAGTGACTGCCTTTTCAAGGACAGCTCTTGTCAGAACTACGGCTTGCCCAAGGTCACACCAGCAGCTGCGAGTGGAGGAGGAGTGGGGAATGAAACCCAGTTCTCCCAGATTAGAGTCCGCGCACTTAACCACTACACCAAACAAGGAAAATCTACTTTAGCAGAGATTAAATCAGCAGAGCAGTGAATGAGAGTCTGAGAGGAGGAGGAGGAGGAAGAGGAAGAAGAAGAAGAAGAGGAGGAGGAGGATTTATACCCCGTCCTTCACTCAGAGTCTCGGGGTGGCTTACAAACTCTTTTCCCTTCCCCTCCCCACAACAGAGGTCGGTGGGGCTGAGAGAGCTCCGACAGAAACGGCTCTTTTTCAAGGACAGCTCTTATCAAAACTTTGAACCAGGGACCTTCAGCATGCCAAGCGGAGGCTCTACCGCTGAGTCATGGCCCCTCCCCAACTTCCCCCAGATTAGAGTCTGCGCACTTAAACCACGACACCAGACTGCTTCTGGGAAGCAGGGGTGCAGTCCAATGAGGGCACCCAGGATTCCTCATCGCAACGTGGAGCAGGATGTGGTGCCCTTGGCATGAAGCTGCCTTATGCTAAATCGGGTCCGTCAAGGCCAGTATTGCCTACTCAGACTGGCAGCGGCTACCCAGGATCTCCGGCAGAGGTCTTTCTCATCACCTTACTACCTGGTCCTTTTAAATGGAAATGCCGGGGATCGAACATAAGAACATAAGAACATAAGAAGCAGAGGCTCTGCCCCTGAGCCACAGCCCCTCCCAGACAAACGCATAAATCACACCTGAAGCTGCCTTCTACTGAATCAGACCCCCTGGGTCCATCCAGGCCAGTCCTGTTTACTCAGACCGGCAGCGGCTCTCCAGAGCCTCAAACAGAGATGATCACCATCACCCACTGCCCAGTTGTTTTAGCTGGAGATGCCGGAGATTGAACCAGGGACCTTCAGCATGCAAAGCAGAGGCTCTACCGCTGAGTCATGGACAGTGTTCCCACCAAGCTGAGTTAGTGTGAGCCAGTTCACAGTTTTTTAGCCTCTGGCTCACAGATTTTCGTCTCGGCTCAGGAAGGATGGGGCTCCAGAGCAAACTAATTTATGCAGCAGCCAAATCACTGGCTCACAACTTGAATGACAGTAGCTCACAAAGTAGAATTTCTGCTCATAAGACTCCACAGCTTAGAGGGAACACTGGTCATGGCCCCTCCCCAACATAGATAGATAGATAGATAGATGATAGATAGATAGATAGATAGATAGATAGATAGATAGATAGATAGATAGATAGATAGATAGATAGATATCAAACTGAGAATCCTTCCTCTGGGGCAGGTTACAAGGAGGGTGAAGGGAGTTAAGGGAGAAGATTAATTCCGGCCCAAGAATCTCAAGCGTAGATTCTTAATTGGGGGGAAAACAGGTAACCCTCAAAAGGAAGGCAAATTTTGCCACGATCTTGTTTAGTCAAACAAGAGCCCCTGTCTTTCGAAGGCCTTTGCTTTGTGGGCCAGCAACTAAGATCTCCCATGCTGGAGCACGGGGAGAAGGTGGGGCTGACGGGAGGGGAGGGACCTCAACAGGGTCCAATGCCACAAAGTCCACCCTCCAAAGCAGCCATTTTCTCCAGGGGGACGGATCTCATAGAATCACAGAGTCGAAAGGGGCCCTACAGACCATCTAGTCCCACCCCCTGCCCAATGCAGGACCAGCCTGAAGCATCTCTGACAAATATTCGTCCAGCCTCTTCTTGAGAGCTGTCAGTGAAGGGGAGCTCACCACCTCCCCGGGCAGCTGATTCCACCTCTGAACCACTCTAACCATGACAAAGTTTTTCCTAATCTCCAGCCGATACCTTTCTGCATGCAATTTAAACCCGTCGCTTCGGGTCCTCTCCTCTGTTTCCAACTGGAACGGCTCCTTGCCCTCCTCCAAATGACAGCCTGTCAAATCTCTGTGGCCTGCAGATGAGTTGCAATCCCAGGAGGTCTCCAGGCCCCACCTGGAGGTTAGCAACGCTACTGAGCATCCACAGACTCAACAGAGAGCCCCCCTCACACACAGCCAAAGCACACCAAGGGTCTGGGGAGCACCTGAGCCCCCCAACCGGAGCCACGCCAGTGCATTCCGAGTGAAAGAACGAGCGCGAGAGGCGCACGGCCGGTCCCTTTGCCAGAGCATCGATTTCACACATTCAAAGGCCATTTCCTGCGTTCTATTTTAAGGCCGCGCGAGAGGCCTTTGCTCAGTTCCAGCAGACGTGCGGGGGGGGGGGCTGAGCAGCCGGAGTGTTGTGCTTTTTTTTTAAGCTGTCGCTATAAAATCTGACAACAGCAGGGCTGCCTTGCCAAGCTTGGCTGCCTCCTCCCGCCCGGAGCTAATGAGGGGCAAGGCCTCTTTCCACACACGCCCAACCCACCCAGAACCACCTGGGAAGGAGCGGGAGGGGGAGGCACGGAAGAGCCGAGCGCACCAGGCCAAGAAGGAGGCCGTTCCCTGGCAGACATGACGGCCAGTTTCGGTGCCAACAACAGCCGCTGCCACCAGCGATTGCTGGCACCCGGACGCCAGCATGGCAGGGCTGCTACTCACGGGGAATTTGCTGCCTCTGGAAGGCAGGAGGGGGAAAGAGGCGAGATGCTGGAATCTTCACAAACACCCAGCCTCCGAAGGGTGGATTCGGGGATGCACACGGACGTGGCACCAACGCTGACCCAGCCTACGTGCTTCGGGTTGCGTTTTTTTAAAACGGCAACCAAAGCACGGGAGATTCTGGGTCATTCTTCAATGGCACACTCTCCAAATCTGGCCGCTGTAACCAGGCGCGAGGCACAACACCAGGCCTCGCCCCACCCCACCCCGGGCAGCCCAACAGTAAGAGAGGCTCCGGAGGGGGGCAGATCTCAACCATCTGGCAGGCCGAAGCACGAGAGTCCAGGAGCACCTTAAAGACCAACAAAATATGTGGCAGGGGAGGAGCTTTTGTGAGTCACGGCCAGGGGTCATTTCCTGCAGGAGCGCACAGGAGCAGAGCTCCGGCAGTAAAGAGCCCAGGGGGTGGGCACATGCAAGAACCCCCACCCCCTGCTCCCAGCAGCCCTCAGTCAGAGCAAGAAGCAGCCAGTTGTTGCAGAGCCCCCCCCCACCCCCCCCGTCCCAAAAAAGCCCAGGGGACCCTTAATAACCATCAGGTACAAGCTCTCTCTCCTCTGTGAGGACAGATCTGCACACACCCCCCCCGATAGCTAGCAATCCAAAAGAGTCCAGTGGTGCCTGAGTGGTGGGTGTTGCCTTCTGACACACTTCCAGTGATGTCAGGGGGTGTGGCATATGCAAATAAGTTATGCTAATGAGTTATGCTAATGAGCTCCTGCACCTCTGGTCACAGCTCACTTCTTCAGAGAACTTCAGGCCAGACTGCATGGCTAGGGAGGCAGTGCTCACCGGTGCCGCAGGGCTGGCCTGGAGAACTTCCTGCCACAGTGTGAGATAATGTAACAGCAGCGCCCGTTCAGGGTCACACCTGGTGAATCCCAGAATTCAAGTTCCTCATCAGAGTCTAAGAAGAGCGCAGCTGGATCAGATCCCGTCAAGGCCCATCAGTCAGAGCAAGAAGCAGCCAGGTAAGCTGCAGAGCCCCCCCCCCCCCCCCCCCCCCCCTCCCCACACCCGCCACGC